TTAGTTGGTAACACAGTTAGTACATCAGCTGCAGGAGAAGGCTGGGGACTGGTATAGGTTGGGGAAGGGCATGGAAGGCTAGGAGTGAGTGTAAGGGACAGTGGCCGTAGCTGGAATGAAGTAGCTGTTTCAGAGAACTGACCACTCAAGGTCAGTTGCAGTGGCTCCTGGGTACTTGGGAGACACACACACACACACACACACACACACACACACACACACACACACACACACACGTACTACTTGAGAAGCAAAAGCTGAGAAGAGAAAGTGGTGATTAATATCTGTACCTTCACATAACACCAAATTTGCATAGGGGGTAGGCCTGCTCCCCCTTTTGGGCACCTCCAGACCTGGTCCTCTTTCCTGCTCTCCTGCTTTCTCCCGCCCTCCAGCCACCACCATAACCACCACAGATCTATTCAGCGATTGTATCCTTGCCCCTATCATACATGGGTAGCTTGCATACCAGCCAGAAGAATGCGTCTCCAGGAAAGTGGCTTCGTGTACTGCCTCCCCACTCTGGCCTCAGCAAACTCCCAGCTGGCCCTCAACCCTCACCATGAGCCCCAGCCTGCCCACTCCCCCACCAAGAAAAGGCAGGAACCCAGTTTTCCTCTGCTACTGATCACTGTCACCAGTGGCTTGTGAGTGGCTGGCTGTGGCCTGTTATCCCTAGGAAGGTTTGGCTTGATGCCCATCAACACCTGCTCCCTGCCTTTGCTCCCCACCCCAGGAATGAGCAGGGGAGGAGATGAAGTGAACCGGAACCTGGGCAAAAGTCAGAGAGCTTTAGACCAGGTCGCCAGGAGGTAGAGTCCAGATGAGGATACCTGGCTTCTCATCTCAGTTTCTCCCCATCATTGTTCAACCCTGGCCAAGAGGGAAGGTTAGGGATCAGGGGGAAAGGCTGGCAGCAGATCTTTCATCCTCCATCTCCAAACTGACTCTTTGCAGTCCTACCAGATGTCTATTAGTTAAAACTTCCCTCCAACCTCTCTCCATCCCAGCAACCAACCTCAAATGACTCGTCTGAACCTTGTGAGCAGAGTCTGCAGCACAGGACAGAAAGAGAAAAGAATAGAAGGCAAGGAAGTAGCAAGGAATGAGGGAGATGGAGGGAAACAGCATGAAAATGAACTGGAAAACTAGTCCTTTTCCCTTCTCCACGGCCTGTCTGTAGGCCCACCGAGGCACCAGCTGACTTTTGTGGCTCCTCTTCATTTCATTCCACTCATAGCAATGAAACACCTATTTTATGCAACACGCTCTACTGGGGAGGGAGATTGGTGTGTTACTGGGATAAAGATAATTCCCTTAGGCTCTATGCTCCTGAAACTTCAGAACTGGATCTTCCTGCCCAGTTTTTCAGCAGAGTTCCTGGCACCTACAGTAAATATTGTTGAATAGATTAAAGATTCTTTAGAGATGCTTGTGGCATAGCATGAGAATGACTGGGGGAGGCAAGACTGAGAGCAGCAATCAGGGATGGAAGTGGGAGAGGTTGTGGTACAAAATTGTGGTGAAGTACATGACTATGTAGTCAGATTCCCTGAGTGTGACTCTACTGCTTACTAGCTGTGTGACTTTGGGCAGGTTACTTCACTGCTTTGTGCCTTAGTTTCCTCACTTGCAAATAAGTTGTCCTGAGGATAAAAAGGTGTCCACAAAGTACCTCAGAGTAACACAGCAGGCTGTAGATAGAAAGTGCTGGAAGAGACCACAACTAGGCTACAGCACTTTCAGTGGAAAAAGGCACAATAGAGGTACCCAAGAGATGTTCCATTGGTTGAATCAACCAGGCTTAGCACCTGATTAGATGTGGGGGGAGGAGGGACCTAGCCTATCAGGTTCCTTGCTTAGGCAGTGGGGGTCTCCAAGAGCTAAGAGAAGCGAGGCAGGCGGAGGGGGCCTTGGGCCCGAAGGGAGTTCTGGACAAATGGAGTTAAAGGCTCCTGTGGAAATCCAGGAAGTTATGGGCTTAATGTGTGTAGAGCTGAGCGAAGAGGTCAAGGTGAGAGAAATGTAGTCCAGAGTCAAAGCCAGGGTCCTGTTAGTCCTCCTCCTCATTCCATTCTCTTGACTATTCCATGGGCCCTTGTCACTTGCCTAAAGGGATGGGAAGGGGTTGAGGACAGTCATGCTCTGACAGGAGCTCACTGCATGGACAGAGTGTCTGGGGGTGGGGGCGTGTTGTATAGCTTCTACTATCTGCTTATTCATCTCCTACCTGTGGAGCTAGTGCACTCGGGCGTCGAGACATTATCCATTTGTGGGCTTTTCTTTGTAGGAGCTGTCAGAATGTTTCTGAGGTAGCACTATAAACTGGTAAAGCACACAGACTCAAAACCACTTGATTAGAATCACTCACTGCTCCATTACTTCCATTGGGCAAGTCATTTAATCTCTTTGAGGCTCAGCTTCCCCATCTGTAAAGTGGGATCACAATAATACCTATCACATTTGGTTGTGACAATTAAATTAGTGATTGCATAGAAAGTATCAAGTACAGGGCCTGGCAAATGTTACTAGTGTTATTAATTCTTTTCTGTCTAACACAACTGCCAGACATCTAATGACAGTCAGCGTAGGGTGGAGGCTACACTAGGACATGGCGTGATGGTCCCCAAGATGATTCACCATCTGACTTGGATGTCTTCCTCAGACATATTCCCCAGTCTCTTGCTTTTCTTCAGGTCTCAGCCTCAATCAAATATCTACTGAGCAATAACTCCATTGTCCAGTCCTCATGCAGAGAAGGAAAGCCCTGCTCCATCACCTGCCTTGGCAGGAGGCTGGGGGCCTTGCCTGCTGCAAGAAAAGTGACACAAATGGGAGGTTCAATCCCTATGGTGGCCCCAGGCCACCAGTGAACTCAAGCCATTTTCTAAGTCTCCCAGGAGAGAGGACTGTGCGTGTTTGTGTGTGTGTGTGTGTGTGGGGGGCTTGGAACAGTTTCATTTTTACCTATTTCTGAGCCTCAGTTTTTCCATATGTAAGGAGGTGATGGTAGTAGTATCTACTTTATAGGATAGTGTTAGGGAACGCACTTGGGAAGATTGTAAGGGACATGATTGGCTTTTGTGGCTCTACTGAAAGGTCTACAGGTAAGTAGGTGTCCTGCCTCACTTACCTGGTATCTTTTCCACTTGCCCAAAGCAGGGGCAGCAGAAATAGGGAATAGGACACTTTCTGACTCCATTGACAATCTCAGGCAACTCCTGCAAGAACTTCTAGTAATGAAGTTTCAGGTTGTCACCAGCAACCTGAAACTTCATTACTTTACCCCCTCCCTTCCCAACTCTTTTCCCCATTCATACCTGAGACTCCCAGTCCCCAGTCTATCATCCTTTTCTGCCAGTATCCAAGCTAGTCTTCCTTTTTCCAAATTCCAGGTAGTTGGGTGGGTTTGGATCTGTGGTGAGATATTTTCAGACTCCCATCACTCCCTGGAGGGGCATTAAAAACTCTACTCATGGTTCTTAAAGTGTGGACCCTTCAGATGACCTCATATGTTTGTCCAAAACACAGATTTTTCCATTTCAGGCCAATAAAACTGAATTTGAATTTGGGAGTTGGAACATGCATTTTAATAAGCTCCCGAGGAAAAGCTTATATACATGCACATTAAAACTGAGATTTTAATTACAATTAAAATTCCCCTCTCTGCTTCAAGAAAATAATCATCAGTGGAGGATGGGAGCTCAGCATTCAAAAGCAGATGGGATCTGCATGCTGCGATGTTTCTCCCCCAATACCGACAGGCTCAACAGCAATGGGAAAGAGGTTGAGAGGGGGTAAAAAGGGAGTAAGTCCTAGAAAGCTGGGGGCGGGTTGTGAGCCTTCTTCTAAACCCTTATTACGGTCCTGAGCAATTACAATTATGGGGCGCCACGGAAGTCGCTGTCCCAGGGTCACAGTCTCTGTCCTCTCCGGAGCATGAGTGCAACAGAGGGTGGCGTTTGGCTACCTGTGCGGCTGGGGAAACTGAGGCCTGGAGAGGTGGAGGGCTTCTGTACTTAGTCCGCAGCTGGTCTGGCAGGATGGAATCTAGGTCTCTGCTTCCACCTGTCCTGCCACAAGGAAGCCGGCGGTGGGGGGCGTGGCTCTCTTAAACCCACTTTCCACAAAGCTCTGCCAGAAACGCAACCTCCCCACTGGGGCCTTAACTCTGTCCCTCACCATGCATCCATGGAACAACTGGAGCGCGCTCCTTCCCCTCCAGCCACAGTTTCCCCACCCGCGCCGCGCCGGGTGCGTGTGTCTGGGAACACAACGATGTGAAGCTCAGTAGCGGGATTCCCCATGGGAAAGTCGCCCAGTCCCTCCCCGGGGATGCTAGAGACCCTGAATCGAAACAGGAGGCAGGACGCCCCCGGCCGGGAAGCGGCCCCAGCCCGGATTTCCCTCCCGGGTGGGGCAGCAATGACTCACCCCCTCCCCCTTCCCTCGGTTTCCTTGTTTGCATTTCTCCTCCCGGCCACGTGGCGATCGGTGCAGCCACTCACCGCCCCAACCTCGACACCCCGGCCTCTGCTGCCCCTGCACACACCCTAGAGCCTTCCTACCCACTAGGGTTTCTCCGGGCTCCAGATGGTGCCCACTGTACTTACCCCTGGGTGCCGACTCCACCCCGTCCCCGCCAGTGCCCGCCCCCTTCCCCTACGCCCTCCCTCACCGTCAGGCCCAGCGGCTGCTCCCCACCCCTTCGGCCAGTCCAGGGAGGGGAAGGGGGCGGGCAGCGCAGGGGGTGTGACAGCTCCCTGCCGGACCAGTGCCAGCGGCAGCCTCGCTTCAGTGCCCTGTGCCAGCTGGCTCTTTCGTCTGGGACGAAGGCGGAGGCTCGGGGCTCCTAGTCGCTGGGCCCGGGTGTGTGTGTGGGGTGCTCCCCCCACACCCTCTACCCTCTACTCACCCAAGACAAGCCTCTGCACCCAGTCCTGCATTTTGCTGTCCTCGGAGCCGGTTCCGGTCGGAACTAGCCCTGTTCACTGCCCCTGGGACTTACGCCGGCACCCGGCACCCGTCCAGGGTACCCCTGTGGAACTGACCGGGGCGGGGGGGTGGGGCTGGCTCGCGATCCCCCAATCTCGGCTAGAGGCTGCAAGGCTGTGTGAGCTTGAGAAGGAACATGAAGGTGGGTGAGGTGGGGTCAGGGTCAGGGAGGAGGAGCAGGAGTGGGCGGGAGAGGAAGCCAACACCGTGGGGAGTTTAAGGGGGGAGAGTTTTGGTGGGGGAGGGAAATGGGGAGGAGGATCTGAGCCGAAGCTGCATTTCTGGGGGGATCCAGGAGCCTATAGCCTCGGGCTGGAAGGAGTGGAGATTCCTGCAGGGGCAGGAGCAGTGAGGTGGGGCAGAATTCCAGAGGGCCTGGTCTTCTCAATAAGCCAGCTGGAGACCCCTAAGTGCGCCAGACCAGCGGGCTCCGGTGAAGGTCTTCCTGTCCCTCCCCCGGCTCCTGGCAGGGTAGCAGCACCTCCGCCTGACCAGTCCATAGGACTCTAAGGAAGTGTTTCTTCTGCCTGGGGCAGTTGTGTGGCTATCCAGCTGCCCTAGCCACTGCCTATGGCTGTCCACCTTCCTCCCCCCCTCACAGGTGGGCTTGCCAGGTGAGAGCCGCTGGCAGGTGGGCCCGGCTGTGGAGGATAACCTGGCTCTGGGAGCACCGCAAGTTGGGGGCCTCCCTGACTTGGTGCCAGAGGGGACACTGCTCAACATGGTGCTGAAGAGGATGCATCGACCCAGAAGCTGCTCCTACCAGCTGCTGCTTGAGCACCAGCGCCCCAGCCGCATCCAGGGGCTTCGATGGGTGAGTGTCCTCTGCCTGTCCAGGTCACCAGGACTGGAGGGAGTCTGTACCGTCATGTCAGGTGCTGCTGGTGGTCCAGCTCTGCTCTGGGGGTGCAGTGTGGTGCAGTTGGTGTGGATGGAGAGTGGAGAAGTGTGGCTGCAGTGTGTGTGGGTGGCTCACACAGCGGCACCCTGTGTATCTGTGTGCCTGTGGTGCTCAAGTACCCACACCGGGGCACAGGGAAAGAGAAAAAAAAAGCTTGTAACATATCTGTCACCTTGTGTGCCAAGCATTGAGTAGGTGCTTGTGTGTTCTCTCCAGGTGGGGGTGGGAAATATGGGGGCTGGCTCAAGTGGGAGGTGAAGTAAGCTTGGTTACTGCTCTTCACATGTCACCGTGGCAACATTCTCCTTTAGTGAGCAATTGAACTGGGCTGATTCAGGTTTTTGATCTTGGGATCATGTGGACAATGCCAGGCATCTGACTTTGGGGGCACTCAGGAGGATTCTAAGAAATATGGATAATCAAGGATCCTGAAGTTCTTTTTGCCAGTGGGGAAAAAAGTCTCTTGAGCTAAAAGAATGAAAGAGGGACCAGGAGCAGGGAAATGGGGTGCTCAGGAGAAAAGGGGGCTGGATAATGACTGTAGAGTCTGTTCAGTTGGAAGCTTTCTCCAACCACCCAGGCTTAATAGTATCCCTTCACCTGAGAGTCAGTTGTGTGACCACTGCATGTTCCCACTTGTATGTATGGCAGGGAGGATGGTACCAGGTAAAGGGGTCTAGGGGAGGCAGGAGTCGGTGACAAACCTGGGAGAGCTCATCTCTTATCAGCAAGGCTCTTCATGTAGAACCGCCACCATCTTTTCCCTCCTCCTACCTTGCCTAAGTGCCATTTCTATGTACCAAAACATGAGGCTGAATTGAGAAAACCCAAGGCCTTTCAAGATGAGGGGGTCCTCTTTGCAATCAGAATTGAGAGAGTGTCCATCCCAGTTCTCCCTCAGCTCCTCTGTCCCTGAACTTCCTGATAGGTGCCTCTGGGGCCATCGGTCCTGCTCCCCTACCCCTTGGCTGTCGGTCACAGCAGTAGCTACTGCTTGGAGCCAGTGGGCTGGAACCCTCCCTCCCTCCTTCCCTCTCAGGCTATAATTACTTGTGCATTTCCTGTCCCCTTCCCAGCTTGTAGAGGCAAGGTAGGGGATGGGAGGGGGAAGGTCAGGTACCAGGACAATGAGGTCACTGGAGGATCTCCTGGGATCCAAAGTCTGGGAGGGAGCAGAGGAGGCCGCCACACTGTCTCCTGAGGCCCCAGAATTGAAGGGCTGGCCTTCTGGGGAAGCCGGAAGGGTGGGGGTGAGGGTTGCTGGAGTGTAAATGGGGTCAAAGGCACAGAATCAAGGCCTCTCCCATGCCAGGTGGGTGTGGGGGGTAGTGGAGTTGGTAACTGGAGGGAGCTTAAATTGTTAGAGGCCCACCCTCTCCTGATGCCCATCCCTAGGGAAGGGGGATGGGGTGGTTTCAGTCCATTGTGCCCAGGTTGAAGGGGCTCTGGGTGCCTGTAAAGCTGCACCTCTCGATGATGCCTTTGGCTCATGGAGGGCTCCCATGAGGGGACAAGTACCCACAGGGAGTGTGCACACACTGGTTGAAGGAGGTTAAGACTGCAGCTCCAGGACAAGGCTGGGAATTATTTGGAACATGCCTACCTCTCACAAAGCCCAGGGGAAAACCCATCAACCTCTCAAAGAAGAGGTCTGAAGACAGCTGTTTCTGTCTCTAAACCAGGACAAGTAGAAATGAAAACAACAAGAGGACTTGAGGTTATACACAGAAAGAACTTACCAACGATGGCAAAGGTGACACTAGAATGGGATGAAGAACATCTTCTTTGGAAATTATAAGGGAGAAATGAGATCTCATCTGATATCTGGGGGCAGGGCAAGATCAGGGTGACCTCTGGTGGGTTCCATAGGCTCAGGAAAGCCCAGGAGTGACTGCGTGGGGGGAGGTGGCCCTCTTGTCTAAGACAGAAAACATACTTCATCCAACCTGTGCAAATAATGGTGGTAGCTTATAGTAACATAGTATTTATGTCCTAGGTACTACGAGCCTTACCTTTATTATATCAAATGATGCTCACAACAGCCCTGTGGAATGGGTCCTAATGTCATTGTCCCCATTTTATAGATGTGAAAATGGAGGCCCAGAGAGGTTGAGTGACAGAGCTGCTAAGTGGCAGAGCTGGGCACTGTATTCTGGCAGTCCAGCTGTGGATTCCATGCTCATACTGCCCCGAAGTACTTTTCTCCAGTTGCTGAGTCCAGCACTGACCTCCATGGCATCCCCGCCCCATGCACTCTTTCCTTGGCCACTATGCACAGCCTGGCCTGGGACCTTAGCCATGGCCCAAGGGAACTGGTTTGACAGGTCCCCATGCTGTCTGGCTCTGTGCCTGTCCCTCCAGCCCTGCTCTGACACTCAGTGACAGGGAGGGAGGGTGGGGTAGGCGACTGTGTTAGTGCCAGGGGACCTAGCACCTCCTCTTCCACCATGAATCCTTCTTGTTCAGGACTGAGAGGAGGAGGAGGGCAAGGACCTTGACCCACACTTCTTTCCAACTGAGAACCACTAAACTGACACTCAGGGTGATCCGATCAAGTGCAGAGCCAGCCATAGAACTGAATTTTTTTTTTTTTTTTGCACTGTGTCCAGGTAATAGGTGCCCATCATGAAATTATTGGTCAGGTTACTGTACTTAACATTTACTAAGCAGTTACTGTGTGCCGGGCACTGCTCTGCATGCTTGACATCATTAACTCATTTGATCTCATAATTACCTTAGGGGATGGGTATTGTTATTATCAAATCCATTTTACAGATGAGGAAACTGGAGCACTGAGAGTTTAAATAATCAGCACCAGGTCACACTATCAGATAATAATGCAAGAGCGAGAATTTGAACCCAGATGTCTGGTTCAGGAGCACACACACTTGACACTCACTGCCCCTCCTCGCCCCATCCCTGAGGTTCCCATGCACATGAACATTCCAGGGGCATAGAGGAGCTCATAACAAGGCTGTCTAATTTTGTTTAACACAATGTTTTCCAAACTTACCTACCCATGGAACATTCCTGAGGGCAGAATACTTCTGCTATCTCTGTATCCACACAGCAGGGGAAGCTGGGGGTAGGCGTCACAGGAGACAGTGGGGCGCAGCGCTGAGAACTTTGGAGCCAAGTGTGATTACCAACTGGAGGGCAGGTTATGCAACCTCTGAGCCTCCTTTTCTCTAGCAGTGAAATAGGATACAAATACCTACTTCTAGGGTCAGCATTGGGAGCAGTCAATCAGTAGAATCTTCTGTTCCTAAGTGCTTGTGTGCCTCTGGTAAGTTACTTCAGCTCTCTGGGCTTCTGCTTTCCTTGGTGAAATGACAGAGAAGCCTTAAGATCCTGTCCTGAGCCCCCTGCATGTGGGCATAGAGGGGCATTTTCTGACCATTGTGCTCATCCCCTGGGGTAGGACAGGAAAGACCAGCTTGCTCACGTGGCCTGGAGCATGCCCCCCCTGCAATGTGCCCTCCTAGGTCAGAATAATACCAGGAAGGAACCAGTGCTGAAACCTGGGTTGTGGGCACCAAAGGGAGCTGGGGCAGGGACTGGGACGACCTGGGCATTTTGACATGAACAACAAGAAGTCATCAGCACTTAGGCACTGTTTGTTCCGACACAGGGGTCTGGCCGGGTAGCATTCCTGCCCTTCCTCCTTTCCTGGCTCCTCCTCCTCCTCATTTCCTGTCATTAAGTCTCCAGGGCTCTGTGTCTGGCACTGGACTGGGCCCCATGACCCGGGCAGGGATACCCTTGGGACACCTAGTGACTTCCGCTCAGCTTTGGGCCAGTCACCCAAGCATGCCAGACCTCAGGCCTCTGTCTGGGCACAGTGGCAAGATGCCTGCGACAAGGGACCTGCTAGTTCGGGAGAGAGGGCTTAGGTCCTAGCTCCCCGACCAGGTCTTTCCCAGGGCCCAGAGTGCAGGTGGGAAAGCAGGAGAGGTGTTGCTGCTGAGAGGAAGGGGGAGTGGGGAAGAGGAAACAGGCCCTGTGGTGGGTGGAGTGAGACCAAAAATGTGAGCACTGTGGGTAGAACTCGGTTTATCCATAGCTGGCTGGCGGTCCTGAGCCTGCATGGCAGTTACACAGGGCGTTTTACCTCAAGACATTTGTTTCCCTGTAAGTCACACAGGACAGATAATATCTGCTATGCCTATTTCACCCCGGATCCTATGTTACCTAGGATCTAATGACATCAAGGAGGTGGATATATTTTGTAAACTGTGAAGTGCTCTGCCTTTGGGAGGGCTCATAGAGGGCAGAGCATCCTGTCCAGAGCGGTTTACAAACTCCTGTTCTCAGGTGACTGGAAAAGAAGGGTTGTGAGGGGCTTTCATGACTGATATCCCAGGGTATCCAGGATCTAGAGTCTGGGGAGCTCAACTGATACCAAGGACAGGGAAACCTTGTTAACCAGTGCGTCTACAATAAGCCCCATCTTTCTGAGCAGTCCTGAGTACTGCCAAGGCTGTACTCGCTTTTACCGGGTTATGGACTCGCAGCATCTTGCAGAAGCCTTCGAGCAAGCAGCCCCACCCTGTGCTTCACAGATGAATAATATTAGCTAACATGTATACACAGCTACATACCAGACAATGGCTTCAACATTTAATATGTATTAACTCATGTAGTCCTTCCAAAGGCTTATACACTGGTAATATTTGTGCTTTATAGACTTTACACATAAGGAAACTGAGGCAGGGAGAGGGTAAATCACTTGTTCAAGATCACACCACCTGTGAATGGAGGAGTAGGAATTTGAATCCAACAGTTTGGCTTGAGGGTTTCTGTTTTTAATGACTATGCTGAACCAAAGCCCACTGAAAGCATAAAACCTGCCCACTATCCTGTGGTTGGGCAAAGAACCAGGGCTTGGGATCAGCCTGCAGCTACAGCTAAAAAATTTGTTCCTAGGTCCCCTGAGCTGCTCCTGTCCCGTCTAGTCTCATGTCTTCTTATATCACATCCTTATGCTCTTCCAGCTCTATTGCTCCTTCCCCTATATAGCATCGTTTGTTTTGTTTTGTTTTGTTGAGACAGGGTCTCACTAAGCTGCTAAGGGCCTAGCTAAGTTGCTGAGACTGGTCTTGAACTTGTTTTCTTCTTGTCTCAGCCTCCTGAGCTGCTGGGATTATAGGTGTGCACCACCACACCCAGCTCAGAATGGAAATCTTGGGGGTCTCATCAGTAGAATCACAGTGCTTGGGTGTGCAAGAAAGAAAAGGGTCTAGTGATAGGGGTAGCAGTGTGGGAAGAGGTGATTCCTGGTGCACAAGGTGTGCAGCAAATGTTTAATTGTTGCATGAGGGCTAACTGAATGCATCTGGGGCTGGGGACGGGGCAAGGGCGGGAGCTAGGGGAGCAGTGAGGGGCTCCAGAGCTGTTTGAAAGTCTTGCACTGACCCACAGATTCTCCCCACTGCCCTCAGACGCCGCTCACCAACAGCGAGGAGTCCCTGGATTTCAGTGTGAGCCTGGAGCAGGTATGAGAGGGGGAGGGGCGGAACTGGACGAGGGCCACCAGCTGAGGGGTTCAGGGCCTGAGGCTGTCATGCCCTTCCTCCCTTCAAGGCTTCCACAGAGCGGGTGCTCCGGGCTGGAAAGCACCTGCACCGACATCTCCTGGCCACCTGCCCGACCCTCATCCGTGACCGGAAGTATCATCTCAGGCTCTACCGGTGAGTGGAGGCCCTGCCTGCCCTGAAGTTTTCTCTCCTTTCCTACTTTATTCCTACCCCTGCTTCTGGGAGAAGCCCTGGGCTTGGGCCTCCAATGGTGCCTGTCTGGATGGAGAGCCCCCGCCCACCCGGCCTTCCATCTGATTTTCTGGTCTCCTTCCACTTCCCGCAGGCAGTGCTGTTCTGGTCGGGAGCTGGTGGACTGGGTCTTGGCCCTGGGGCTTGGGGTCCACTCTCGGAGCCAGGCTGTGGGCATCTGCCAGGTTCTGCTGGATGAAGGTGCCCTCTGCCATGGTGAGCTTGAGCCTAGGACAGGGCATCTAGGGCTGGTGAAAGGGGACAGGGCAGACCTGGGGATCAGGCACCAGCGGGGATTACAGAGGAGGCTGGCATCAACGTGTGGACCTCATACCTACATGGCCTCAATTTCTTCTCCTTCCCCATGCTCGGGCCTCGGCTCCCCAGTGAAACACGACTGGACCTTCCAGGACCGAGATGCCCAGTTTTACCGGTTCCCTGGGCCAGAGCCGGAGCCCACAGGAGCTCATGAGATGGAGGAGGAGTTGGTGGAGGCCATGGCGCTGCTCTCCCAGCGGGGGCCCGATGCCCTGCTCACTGTAGCACTTCGAAAGCCGTAAGTCGGGAGCCCTACACCCCCCAATGCCAGGACCCCAAAGTGCATTCAGACCCCAAAGGCTCTCAGGTTCATCTCTGAGGGAAGGAACCCAGAAGACCTGAGCTCTGACCCACATTCTGCCATGAATTTGCTGTTTGATCTTGAGACACCCCCCCGCCCCCTTACCTTATTTCTTTCTCTCTCAATGCCAGAGGATCTCTGGAGGACCCGTCCCACTCTGAGACACAGTCATGGTTGAGGGAGGGTGGGCTTTGATATCTGCAGGCAGGTTGGGGTTCAAATTCCAGCTTGACCAGCTACTAGCCAAGTGGCCTCAGGCCTCTCGATGCCAGCTTCCTCTTCTGTCAAGAGAGGATAACAGTATTCACGTCACAGGGCTGTTATGAGGACAGAAGGAAATTACGCGTGTAAGGTGCTTAGCACGGTGTCCGGCACCTGGGGCACACTCCGCAAAGGTTAGCCCGTTATTGATAACGATCGTGACGGAGGTGCCATCTGGCCCTGCAAGCAAGCTGCCTGGGTGGGGTGGCTTCCCTTCTTGGCCCTGGGCCACAGTTCAGCCTGTGTTCCTGTCGCTCCTGTGCCCGCAGCCCAGGTCAGCGCACAGATGAGGAGTTAGAACTTATCTTCGAGGAGCTCCTGCACATCAAGGCCGTGGCCCACCTCTCCAACTCGGTCAGTCCACCTCCCCGAGTCTGTCCCGCTGGGCCAGCCCTTTCCCCAGAATCTCCTCTTCTGTGACTTCCACTGCTTGGCCAGGAGACAGCCTGCTCTCCTCTGTCTGTGCCTTGGTTTTCGGTCTAATTTCTGGTCCCAGCCTTCAGTCTGAATATACTCTCGTCTCTCTTGGTCATTTCTTCTCCTTGCTGTATCTCCTGCTGTATCCCAGGGATGAGTGGAGGCCTGGCCACATTTGTCACCCAGGACTCACCTCTCCCTGAGCCTGACCCTCCACCTGAGCTTGCCCCCACTGACCCTCTTCTCCCTACTCATAGGTGAAGCGGGAATTAGCAGCAGTTCTGCTCTTTGAACCACATAGCAAGGCAGGCACTGTGTGTAAGTCAGGCTGGGCACAGGGTCCTGGACGGGGGCAGGAGCCATGGAGGAGTGGTGGGTGACAGAAGAGGCTGTGTCTGATTTGTGCCTCTGTCAGTGTTCAGCCAGGGGGACAAAGGCACCTCATGGTACATTATCTGGAAGGGGTCTGTCAACGTGGTGACCCATGGCAAGGTGAGTCCTCCCTCCTGACCACCTCAGCATCCTGGTTGTGACTATTCCTAGGTCCCTGTCCTATGGGCCATGCCTTTGCAAGTCCCAAGGCTGCTGATTCCCCATGTCTCCTTTGTGGGTCTGTCCCAAGGGCTGGGAGTGGGGTGGGCTGTGACTGAGACCTGGCTACAGGGGCTGGTGACCACACTGCATGAGGGAGATGACTTTGGACAGTTGGCTCTGGTGAATGATGCACCCCGGGCGGCCACCATCATCCTGAGAGAAGATAACTGTCACTTTCTACGTGTGGACAAGCAGGATTTCAACCGCATTGTCAAGGTGCCAATATGGGGGGGGGTGGGGAAAGCAGGGGACAGAGGCCTAGGGAGGTGGTATGGGGCAAAGGGTAGGGACCAGAGAGAGCCTACAAGGAGATGCTGGGATATGTGACTGGGAGTGGGGACCTCAGGTGTGTGTGAGAAGGTGAATGCCCATGGCCTGCTGAGGGGCTTGGCGAGGCCTCAGGCTTGATGTGGGAGGCCAGAGGAGTGGTGGGTGCACAGGTGGGAGACAGGGTGCCAGGGAAGGCCGTGCCATGAGAAGCAGGGCCCACGGAGGAAAGGGGTGGAGGAGGGGGTTCAGGCTGGGGGCTGGGCAGCTGAGGGGCCTTGTGGGAACTTCCTGGGCTCGGGGTCTGGAGGGAGGAGGTGGAGGTGGGGGTCCAGAGAGGAGCTCTGGTTGTGTTATTCCCAGGATGTGGAAGCAAAGACCATGAGACTGGAAGAACACGGCAAAGTGGTGTTGGTGTTGGAGAGAGCCTCTCAGGGCACTGGCCCTTCTCGCCCCCCGACCCCTGGCAGGAACCGGTAACAGAAGCACCGTGGTGCCCTCTCCACACTTCTCCCCTTTCCCTGGGTCACATCCCTGCCCTCCTGCCCCTGGGAGTGGGGAAGTATCAAGGGACTAGGTTGTAGCTCCTGACTCAGCCCCACCTGCATCCCAAGGTGGGACAGGGTTGGTGAATTCAGAAGAGTCATATGATTTATTACGGATGTCTGTCCTGGGTGTGGGAATGGAGAGGAGTGGCACAAAAGCACTATAGATGAGCCGTGTCTGCTAGGTACACAGTGATGTCTGGCACCCCAGAGAAGATCCTAGAACTTCTCTTAGAAGCCATGCGGCCGGATTCCAGTGCTCATGACCCAACAGGTAGGGCAGGAGACACCCTGCCTATTCTCTGACTCACGGGGTGGTCAGCGCAGCCTGGGAGAGGGCCAGGCACCTAGCATCTGACCTGACTGGGAGCAGGATCGGTCCACGCAGCCAGTCGGCAGGAAGTCCTCTTCCCCACACTCTTGGCTTGGGCGGAGAGTGCTGTCTCAGGGGCTGGGCATTGCTGGTACCTTGCCAGTGCTGGAACTTGGGGAAGGGAGGCTCCAGCTGTGCGTACACCTGTGATCAGTGGACTTGGCCTCTGAAGCTCCTCGTGTCCCCCTACCTGTCCAACAGAGACATTCCTCAGTGACTTCCTCCTGACCCACAGCGTCTTCATGCCCAGTGCCCAGCTCTGCGCTGCCCTCCTGCACCAATATCCTTCCAGCCCCAGGGTGATGTGTGTCGAGGGTGGGATGGTGTGTGGAGCTGAGGGATGAGCTCCCCATTGGCTTGGCTGCGGTGAACCTCCAGCACCAGCCTCACGCCAGGCCCAGCTTGTGGGTAGACCCTGGGCATCCTGCCGCTCCTTTGCCTCAGGTGTGGTGGGTGGTCCTTCCTGGCAGTTCTGGTTCCCTTGACTGGTGCCCACCTTCCACGTGGAGCCCGCAGAGCCTGCGGGAGGCAGCGAGCAGGAGCGCAGCACTTACATCTGCAATAAGAGGCAGCAGATTCTGCGTCTAGTCAGCCAGTGGGTGGCCCTCTATGGCCCCATGCTCCACACAGACCCTGTGGCCACCAGCTTCCTCCAGGTACCTGGGCGTGAGGCAAGGACTGGCCAAGCTGCTCAGGGTTGGCGCAGCTACAGCCATCTTAGGGAATCTTGATTCTTTACAGAAACTCTCAGACCTGGTGAGCAGGGACGCCCGACTTAGCAACCTGCTGAGGGAGCAGTGGCCAGAGAGGCGGCGACACCACAGGTGCCCTTTGACTTAATTTACTTTGTCCTGTTCGTACCTGGCATTGCAATGGGACCTGGGAGTGAACACTCTGGGCGAGCACCTGGATTTTGAAGTC